ATGCCTGAAAAAGCAGTATCCCCAGGCACGGGGGTGAAGCCACCACAAACACAGTGTCTATGAGCATGGCCACTGTGCCCATGAACCAGGGACTGCACACAACCAGAGTCACCCCGCTCCTGCCTTCTCCCCATCTAGGTATGCCGGTTTCAACACAGAACAAAGTCTGAGTCCGGCAGCACCTTTAAGACCAAAAAAGTTTAATTCTGGGTTATCAGCCGCACAAAAAAAGTTACACCCAGAATTAAACTTTGTTGGTCTTTATTTTATTTTTGCAATTCTTATCCCGCCCTACCCCGCAGGTGAGCTCAGGGTGGCTTACATCATGTCACGGAGCAATAAGCAATTCCATACAGCAGTAATACATCAAAACATTAAGTCCAACAAGATTAAAGTTTTAGGTGACTAATTTAAAATATACCTATACCCACGGCTTTTTTTTTGTAGAAAAAAGCCCAGCAGGAAATCATTAGCATAACAGGCCACACCCAACAGCAAAACCAATTAGCATATTGGGCCACACCCCTGACAGCACAGCTCATTAGCACATTAGGCCACACCCCCATGTTACCAGAAGTGTGGTCATCCAGCCACACCCATCATTTGCTTGTTATTCTATTTACCTTGTTTGCTGTCAAAACCCAGGGCTTTTTTTTTTTGTAGCAGGAACTCTTTTGCATGTTAGGCCACACACCCCTAATGTAGCCAATCCTAATAAGTTTCTGCTGTTGGGTGTGGCCTATTATGCTAATGAGTTTCTGCTGGGCGTGGCCAGCTCGGGAGCCAGCCGGAACTCCGTTCCTGTGCGTTCCTGCCCAAAAATAGCCCTGCCTATACCTAATGGCGGTTCAGGGGTTAGTTCCATTCCAGTGTACACTAAGGTCATGCCAGGAAAGGGAGGGGGGGGATCACTCGGGTGGGATTAAATCATCCGCACCTGGCACCCATTGGCCTTGAAGCAGGGGAGGCCAATGTTATTAGACGCCTGCCAACTACAGTGCTCCCTCTAAGCTCAGTTAGTTTGAGCCAGAGGCTAAAAAACTGTGAGCTAGCTCACACTAACTCAGTTTAGAGGGAACACTATAGTTGGCAGGGGAACACTGTAGTTTCCCTAGCTCAGGAAGAGGCTAAAGAACTGTGAGCTAGCTCACACTAACTCAGTTTAGAGGGAACACTGTAGTTTCCCTAGCTCAGGAAATATTTATTTATTTATTTTATTGACTTTCATCCCGCCCATTCAAGCCTAGGCTGGCTCAGGGCGGCTCACAACCAGATAAAACTTATCATAATACATAAAACATAGTACATAAAAACATTAATGCAATACAATCGGGTAATTTCCTGCAGGAGCGCACAGGTGCAGAGCTCCGGCAGTAAAGAGCCCAGGGGGCAGGCACATGCAACAAGCCCCACCCCCTGCTCCCAGCAGCCCTCAGCCAGAGCAGGAAGCAGCCAGGTAAGTTGCAGAGCCCCCGCGGTCCAAAACAGTCCAATGGCACCTTTAAGACCAAGTTTTATTCAGGTACAAGCTCTCCCTCCTCTGCGAGGACAGATCTCCACATCCCCCCCCCAATAGCTAGCAATCCAAAACAGTCCAGTGGTGCCTGAGCAGTGGGTGTTGCCTTCTGACATCAGGGGACGTGGCATATCCAAATAAGTTATGCTAATGAGCTCCTGCACCTCTTTTTCTACGAAATGACCCCTGAATACAATAGTATAAACAATATTAAAATCAGACAGTATTAAAGTGCTAGTAATTCCAGTATCAACTTTAATTCTATTGGTCCGCTGCGATTGTGGGGGAGAAGAAGGAGGAGATTGGGCCACGCAATAGTCACTAGGACCTGTGAGTCAGGGCTTCCACCTTCCACCCTGTGGGTCAGGGCCTCCATCTTCTGGAAAGGTGGCTCCAGAACAAACTAATGTATGCGGTAGCCGAATCTCTCACTCACAACTTCAATGGCAGCAGCTCACAAAGTAAGATTTTTGCTCACACGACTCCACAGCTTAGAGGGAGCTTTGCACCTCAACCAAAGGCCTGGTGGAACAGCTCCGTTTTACGGGCCCCGTGGAGCTGCAGTAAATCCCGCAGGACCCTGATCTGAACCTTAATCACGGGGTTGTCATTGCGAGGGCAAACGGAGGCGGGGAGAAAGACGCATGCTACTTTGGATCCTTGTTGGGGTAAAAACCGCAGTATAACTATCGAAATATAAAACAAATGGGTGTGTGGATGGTGCATGGCCCAACAGAGAAGCGGGATATAAATATGTTAATAATGAATAAACTTAGCAGGCGACCTGGAGATCAGAGGACACGACTTGCCAAACAGGAGAGCGCAGCCCGAAAGGAGCCCCTCCGGCAAATCGATTCAGGCCCGATCCTGGTCCCAGACCCGCTCACCTGCCACCTCCTCCTTCTCTTCCGGAATGACTCCATCTTCCTTCTTCTTCCCTCGTTTGGGCATCTCCGATCCCAGCCCAAGGGGCCAGCAGCGTCCCCGACTCACAAGCCGCACGCTCCGGAGCAGCAACGTCTCCTGAAAAACAGGAGCCAGTGAGTCCTATTCCCACCTGAACCAGCCCCATCTTTGGCCCACTGTCTCCTGCTAAAGCCCCCTTCCCACCAATGTCAAGGGAGACAGCCAAAGATAGCCCCTGAAATCCTTCCAACTTCATCCTTAGCCAGTTGTACTAATCCCCCAGGGCAAATCCCTCCCTAACCTCGACCTTCAGCAGGCAAAGTCGATCTCCACCTCCTGCTTCATTTTGTTATCTCACAGGGCTCATGTGCCTTCAACAGCTGCAGCATCTTGCATCCTTGCAGCATCTGCCTGGAACATCTGCTTGTTAAAGGTACAGGATTTCTTCTGGGAGGGCAGCTAGGGTTGCCAACTCCAGGTTGGGAAATCGTTGGGGATTTGAGGGTACAGCCTGGAAAAGGCAGGGTTGAAGCTGGGAAAGGAGATCCGTGGGATAAAATCATATAGACTCCACTCTCCAAAGGAGCCATTTTCTCTAGGAGAACTGATCTCTGAAGTCTGGAGATCACTAGGAATTCCAGGACACCTCCAGGCTCCCCCTAAAGGCCAAAACCTAAAGAACAATATATATCTAACAGAAAAGTCCACAGCTACAGAGACAGGTTCCATTGCTGTAGACTGTCTTGTTTTCTGATGAGAAACTGACGAGAGATGCAGCAGTTGTCCGTGCCAATGTTGTAGGCTGTTATGCTTTCCGAAGAGAGATACAGCAAGCAAGCATCAAAGCAACATGCCTCCCAGGCAGGGCCGGCCCCGGGTTTTTTTGCACACTAGGCGAGGATACCTTCTGTCGCCGCCCCCCCCCGTCTCTCCCCCCCACAATTTTCAAACATAAATGCATTTTAGGAAGAATGAACAACACAAAATCTGAAAGGTTGTGAGGTCGGTGGGGCTGAGAGAGCTCTTTCGAGGACTGCCCTTGAGTGAACAGCTCTGAGAGAACTGGTGACTGAGCCAAGGCCACGCCAGCAGCTGCATGTGGAGGAGTAGTGGGGGGGATCCAACCCGGGTCACCCAGATTAGAGTCTGCGCTCCTAACCACTCATTCCTGGGGGTGGGGAGGCCAGTGGCTCCTGCTCCTCCAAGAGGAGGGTGGTTGCGCTTCTGAGCGCACTGAAAGACCAAGCAGCGCACGGCAGTCACCCACCTGGTCAAGAACGTTCCAGGGCTTTTGGTGTGTGTGTGGGGGTGCCAGTTTGGCACCCCTAAGGGCCGTGCTGTAGGAGAGCGCCTAGTAAGCGAGCCAGCCCTGCTCCCAGGCAAAAATTGTGTGTTTCGAGATTCTTCTTCAGGCAAAATTATTTTTCCTGTAACCAAAGCTCACAATCCTACAATGCACAAGTCAACAATTCTATAGAACCTAAGGGCAGCATTCATGTCCATGCATGACAAGGAGCCTTGCTTAGAATGGCATCTCTGCTAGCAGGTTATGGATCTCTGCCAGAGGCCTTTCCCCAGAGCTGCTGCGGCGGCTGCTGCTTTTACCCCGGACACGCCAGCGCTGCGCACAGAAGCCATCCCGGTAGCCAATGCCACTCTCTCCTCCGGATTAACGGTGCCTTTCCCACCTCCTTGACAGAACGGCTCTCCAACCAATCAGGCCTCTCCCTGCAACATCAGCCGCCTTCTCCCCAGCCACTCCTCTCCTCACCCCGCACAAACAACCTCTTTGCTGCAAGACCCCCTTGGCATTTGATGAAGTGAGCTGTGACGACTCACGAAGGCTCGTGCTGCTAAGAAATGTGGTGAATCTCGAAGGACCCCCTGCACTCCTGTTTTATCCCCCCCCCTTCCCCAATTTACATCTGCAGACATCTGCCTCGGCTGATCTACAATGGTCGCTTAAAAAAAATTAACTCCAGGCTAGCTGCTTGGCCTGTAACAGCCGGATCGCTTGGCTGCAATGAATGAGGGGTTTTCCGCTTCCTCCACCAAGCACGTTCGTGGCTTCGGAGGGGCAATTAAAGTCCGAGCGTCCTTAAGATGTAGCAATGTAGGAGGCCAAAGCCACGCCTGTTGAATTTCTACCTGCAAGGCAGGGTTGTTTTTTTAAAAAAGAACATCCTCCCACGCACACTCTGCCAAGATAGGAAACCAGCTCCTTCCTCTATCCACATTCTAATTTTAACTACTACTAGTAGCATCCATACGACTCCTAGTAAAGCGTCCTTGCCCTTACCGCACCGAGATCCTGGAATTCCCCAGAGACAAAGGAAGAACCTGCCAAGCTCGCACGCAAGGAGAATGGGGGAAACAACCACGTGGAGTGGATTTGTGTCACGTGATAGGGGCTGGGTCACGTGGGAGAAAGGGACTCCACCGCGAAAGGGGGGGGCAGTCAAAGACTGAGTGTCCTCGATCAACCAATGCCTGCTCCAGCTGACACGCGAAGAGGGAGGAGGCGGGATTTGGTCGCCTGACGCCGCAAGGAGATTCTCCCCCCCCATGGGGTAACAGAATCAACGAAATTGTAGCAGCACACCCACTTCTGGTTACCAGTTGAAGGTGAGGAGACCACTCATGCATAAAAATGGGATAATGCACCATAATGCTGGGGAGAAGAGGCTAAAGAGGCTCCCACTTTCCTCCTCCCCACCTCATAACTCTTGTCCCCGCATATGGCGGAGTTCCAACGGCACCCGGTAGTAAAGGCGAACGTGTGACTTCTCTCGTTTTCTCTATGGATGTCTGGCTCTTGCCTTTTCGAAAGAGACGGGGGGGGGGGGGCAATTTAACCCTTTCCTATCCCCCCCTTTTTCTGATACAAACTGTGGTCGCCCCCCCCCCCCCCCGCCATCATCGACTCAAAGGCGAGCCGAAGCGCCTTGGCTGAGCTCTCCATCCCATTCAGCTCAATGGGACTTACCCGCCCGCCGAGACTCGCCGCCTGACTTGCTCGAAGCGGAAACCAAGCAGCCGACCTTGCAAACGGGTAAGAAGGGAGAGACCGATGATGAGAAACCGCACAGGAGGACGACACAATCCTCCTAATGCGCAAGTTGTAAAGCCGATTGGCTTTTTCTGTTCAAATATTGGGACAGCGCCCACTAGCACGCCGTGCGAAGCAAACGTTACGTAAAAGGTAAAGGTCTCCCTTGCTCGAAAGCCAGTCGAATCCGACACTAGGGTTGCGGTGCTCATCTCCGTTTCCAAGCCGAAGAGCCAGCGCGGTCCGAAGACGTTTCCGTGGTCATGTGGCCGGCATGACTAAACACCAAGGCGCACGGAACGCTGTTCCCTTCCCACCGAAGTGGTCCCTATTTATCTCCTTGCAATTTCTTGCTTTTGAACTGCTAGGTTGGCAGGCACTGGAACTAGCGACGGGAGCTCACTCCGTCATGCGGCACACTCGGGTCTCGAACTGCTGAACTACTGACCTTCCACAGCCTGCAGTTCAGCGTCTTAAACACTTGAGCCACCGCAGCTCCAAAGGTTACATCGCAAGGGCTTAAAACCTGAAGGGGTCTTTTGGCATGCACGTTCACACGTGCGCTGGAGCAGTGTGCGTGCACAGGAAAGTTTTCACCCAGAATTAAACTTTGTTGGTCTTAAAGGTGCCCCTGGACTCAAACTTTGTTCTGTTGCTTTAGACCAGCACGGCTCCCCGCCAATACTCCCTCTAAGCCGTGGAGCTGCCCGTCAGAGCAAGCACAACTGACTTTGATAGACCAGTGACTCAGTAGAAAGCGGCTCAACGTGTCAGCATGTGCTGTTGAAGCCAAATGAGCTGAAAAGTTTGGTGTGGTTTTTTTTCTGGCCAGTTTGTAACTACTAGAATACATTTGTTTTTTTCCCCTCTTAGTAGAATCTTGGCTTCGAAAACCAGAGCTCAATAGATGTCACTAAGCTCCACAATGTTTCAGTGTGCCTTAGTCAGTGCACAGTCACCCTATCATATGCGCCTCTCAGAGTGGTAAAAAGCTGTACTGAACCACTTACCTCTTGGTGCCTGCTCCTTATGAGTAAAATGCAGGGCCCTACTGTGTTGCTGTATGGGAGTGGAGGTGGGGGAAGCAGTTGCTACAGAATTCATTTGCCCCAAATCAGGCCTCTTTGTAGAAAAAGCCCAGCAGGAACTCATTAGCATAATAGGCCACACCCAACAGCAGGAACTCATTAGCATATTGGGCCACACCCCTGACAGCACAGCTCATTAGCACATTAGGCCGCACCCACGTTACCAGAAGTGTGGTCATCCAGCCACACCCACCTTTTGCTTGTTATTCTATTTATCTTGTCTGTTGTCAAAACCCAGGGCCTTTTTGTGTCGCAGGGACTCCTTTGCATGTTAGGCCACACACCCCTAATGTAGCCAATCTTAATGAGTTTCTGCTGTTGGGTGTGGCCTATTATGCTAATGAGTTCCTGCTGGGCGTGGCCAACTTGGGAGCCAGCCGTAACTCCGTTCCTGTGCGTTCCTGCCCAAAAATAGCCCTGCCCCAAATCCTATAACATATGTGTTGCAGGATCTTTCGTCTCCAGATTCTGCTCCATGTTTTGCCAGGTTAGGTGATCCTTGGCCTCCAGAGAGGCCAGAACTTCTCATCTCTTCTCTCCAGAGGCGCAAGGACTTCCCCACCTCAGCTCTGAACCACAAAACTCCACTTTCTACTCTTGATGGGGATTCCCGTGTTTCCAAAATGGGACCACGATGACGTCTCTCTCCTTCCCTTTTCCAGGAGGAAAGTAGGCTATGCCTGTGGTGATCGGCTTTGAGGGGAGCGCCAACAAGATTGGCGTGGGGATCGTGCAGGATGGCGAAGTCCTCAGCAACCCCCGGCGGACATATGTCACCCCTCCAGGGCAAGGTACGAGTCACATTGCGCACTCTCCTAATCAGGGCTTTTTTTTGTAGAAAAAGCCCAGCAGGAACTCATTAGCATAATAGGCCACACCCAACAGCAGAAACCTATTAGCATATTAGGCCACACTCCTGACAGCACAGCTCATTGGCATATTAGGCCACACCCCCATGTTCCCAGAAGTCTGGTTATCCAGCCACACCCACCTTTTGATTCTTATTCTGTTGACCTTGTTTGTTGTCCAAACCCAGGGCCTTTTTTTGTAGCAGGGACTCCTTTGCATGTTAGGCCGCACACCCCTAATGTAGCCAATCCGAATGAGTTTCTGCTGTTGGGTGTGGCCTGTTATGCTAATGAGTTCCTGCTGGGCGTGGCCAACTCAGGAGCCAGCCGGGACTCCGTTCCTGTGCGTTCCTGCCCAAAAATAGCCCTGCCCCAAATCCTATAACATATGTGTTGCAGGATCTTTCGTCTCCAGATTCTGCTCCATGTTTTGCCAGGTTAGGTGATCCTTGGCCTCCAGAGAGGCCAGAACTTCTCATCTCTTCTCTCCAGAGGCGCAAGGACTTCCCCACCTCAGCTCTGAACCACAAAACTCCACTTTCTACTCTTGATGGGGATTCCCGTGTTTCCAAAATGGGACCACGATGACGTCTCTCTCCTTCCCTTTTCCAGGAGGAAAGTAGGCTATGCCTGTGGTGATCGGCTTTGAGGGGAGCGCCAACAAGATTGGCGTGGGGATCGTGCAGGATGGCGAAGTCCTCAGCAACCCCCGGCGGACATATGTCACCCCTCCAGGGCAAGGTACGAGTCACATTGCGCACTCTCCTAATCAGGGCTTTTTTTTGTAGAAAAAGCCCAGCAGGAACTCATTAGCATAATAGGCCACACCCAACAGCAGAAACCTATTAGCATATTAGGCCACACTCCTGACAGCACAGCTCATTGGCATATTAGGCCACACCCCCATGTTCCCAGAAGTCTGGTTATCCAGCCACACCCACCTTTTGATTCTTATTCTGTTGACCTTGTTTGTTATCCAAACCCAGGGCCTTTTTTTGTAGCAGGGACTCC